GTTCAGGAGCGTGGCTAGATAGGGGGGAGCACCACCCTGGAAGAAATGATAAACAAAGACGAGTATTTTGAATTGTGAGTGATAGCAAACCGGAAGCCAGTGCAGGGAGGCCAGAACCGGACTGATGTGGTCCCGTTTCCTGGTCCCAGTCAGGAACCTGGCGGCGCTGTTCTGCACAACCTGTAGGCGACGCAGTGATGACTGACACAACCCTGCATAGAGAGAGTTGCAGTAATCAAGCCTAGAAATAACAAAGCATTGCAGTACCCGCTCCAGGTGGGCTCTCGACAGCATGTGCTTGATTTTTGCAAGGCGTCTCAGGTGAAAGAAACTGGATCGGATCACAGAATTCAAAGAATTCACAGAAATGGAGATGGATGAAGAAAACATGTTTACAGTTTTTCATCTTTTATTTTATTATGTAATAAAACATTTCACACAGTCATTACTGTAATGTCATTTAATCATGGTTACTTCTGTGGACTAAATTCATGGGTGTTTAAGATGACTTTTGAGCTGTTATTCAATTTAAAAAATCTCCGGTTTTCCGAGCTTCTAGAAAAGTCCAGGCGAAGCTTCCAAAGCTGACAGCAGCCTGGTGTGCAGGATACAAACAGCAGGGACAGCTCAGAAGGTAGAGCGGGTAGTCGTGCAATCAGAAGCGTGCAGGTTCGATCCCGGCTCCGACCAGAGAATACTGCTGTTGTGTCCTTGGGCAAGACACTTGACCTGCCTTGCCTGGTGGTGGTGGTTAGAGGGGCGGGTGGTGCCAGGGTTCACCTCTGTCCGTGCGCCCCCAGGGCAGCTGTGGCTACATCGTAGCTCATCTCCACCAGTGTGCGAATGTGTGTGAATGGGTGAATGACTGATTGTGTTGTAAAGCACCTTGGGGGGTTGTAGAAGAAGGCACTTTACGGGCTCTATACCATTTATACAAAAAGGTTGAGATATTAGATTGAATAGCAATGAAAATGCTACAATCTTAAGGAGGACAACAGGGAAGTCTTAATATAAAATTTCAATAGAACGTGGGTGTCTCATCCGGTCGTGGTAGAACTTCCAACACAAACAAAGATGGACCAGTGTCTCCTCTCTCTTGTACTTTTGGAATTCAAAGCCAAACTATCTCGCTTACAAAGGGGATGCCTTGTCTTTTGGAAGCCAGGATATTAAGAGTTCCATCTGTGTACTTTCCTACTGTTATAGTAACTTTTAAAACTATTTACAAGAAATCAATAATAAAAACTAAACATAAGCAGCGAGGCATGAACTATGTGGATCTTTCTGAGATCAGGAAACTGCATGAGCGGAAAACTGTAACCCTGCCAGCCACTAGGGGGCATAAAGAACCACATTATCTCTGTGTAGTTGTTATAAATATTTATGGTGAACAAGCAGCTCTAAGTAGGGGTGGTGAGGTCTAAAAATACAATTTATTTACAAAAACATCAAAAGCTAACTTGACGCTTATCCCTCCCACTGTCCTAATGGGTGACCCCGCCAGGAAGGCTGACCACTGAGCAGGGTTGATGGTTTATCCCTTGAGGTCCACGTGGCAGGGATGAGGTGGTGTTCAGTCCTCACCCCTGCCACATGGACCTCAAAGGATAAACCATCAACCCTGCTCAGTGGTCAGCTTTCCTGGCGGGGTCACCCATGAAGACAGTGGGAGGGTTAAATAAACCAGTCTAACTGAAATTTTAATCAATCAGAAACAGGAAACACGCTATCATCTCAAACTGCAAGACCTCGATAAACCACTTCCTTCCTAATGGTGCTGTACAGGCCAGGCAGCGCAGCACTCAGACCTGCTCTGGAATTACACAAACAGTGATGGCCTACTTACTTACCACACCATAGTCTGTCATCAGGTAGACCTTCAGCTTTTACATCAGTGGATGTAAAGAAAATAGAACAGGAAGTGGTCACAGATGTCAGAGCCTTTGATATTTCATCTTTGTCATGATTTGCTGTCTTTTGGTTAAAGTCTTTTATTAACAATAAAGCCTACTTAGACGTAAGTAACCTGAATGCTGTTTGATCTTCTGAGCAATGAAAGTACAGACCAGATCTAGTAATGTCCTGTGATCACCGGAGTTTATCAGCAAATGTGGAACTTTTGTTTGGAGGTGTAACATTTGTTTTTCCTCTATTTGACAAAATAAACAAGAATTTTCAGTCAAACCATCTTCAAACTGAATCTTAATTCAATATTAGAAAACCGCAGGAAAAGTGATGCGCAAAATGGTGAAAAACAAAGAGGGTTTGATGAAATGTTTCGTTGTGAAATGTTCTCTTCCTGCTGCGGAACGTCGCACCAACAAGAGTATATTTTCACTTTTCTGCAAACTAAAAAAAAGAACTAACTTTCCAGTCCAGAAGTTTTTTTACAAATAGAATAGAAAAATTAATTCCACTACAGAATATAGAAAAGGTTTTAAAAAGTCAAGGCAGCTTTATTAATTCAGGACATGTTGTACACAGAATTAGTTCAATGTGCTTTTCAGGAGAACAGTGAAAAGATAAAAATCATCTAATTTTAAAGCAACAGATTTGAAACTCAAATTAAAGAGCAAGTCACCCACAAATCAACTTTTTTTGCTGATAAACTAAATAAACGAGCGTCTAATCGTGCTGCAGACACGTGTCGTCAATAATTTGGCACTTCAGTGCATCTTAGTTAAAATTTAAATATTCTGCCTAGAACTGGCCGTGTTGTGCCGTTGTCAGGTAAAAACTCTGCACTGTATTCTAATTTAAATCTGCCACTGCTATTGGCTAAGAGGTATGCTATGATGTAAACTGGTACATTATGATGTCACAATGCTGTCGTGAGCCTGTGTGAGTGTATTTGTTAGTTGCTCCGCCCTCTCCGTCTGCCAGGCAACAGCATTTGTTGCATTTTTCAAACATGAAGTGAGAGTGGAGTTAGACTCTGGTAGGGGGGTGACTTGCTCTTTAAGCAGTGGTCCTAGAATTGAGCCTTGGGGGACCCCACATGTCATGGTGATCAGCTTTGATGTGTGATCCCCAATAGAAACAACATAAGCCCTGTCTTTGAGATAAGATTGGAACCAACCTTGGACCGTGCATAAAAGTCCCACCCAGTTTATGAGCCTTTCAAGAAGGATGCTGTGGTCCACAGTTTCAAAAGCAGCATCATCAGAACAGATGTTTAGCCTGAATCTAATATCATTTAACACCTTACCCAGTGCAGTTTCTGTGCTGTGGTTTTGTCTAAAGCCTGACTGGAAAATACCTACTAGGTTGTTTGTCTCCAAACTTTTGTTCGCTGGATCATAACTGAGGTCGGCTGACCGCTCTGTACTCCGCCCATGAAATATAAAACAAGGGAGGAGCGAGCTTTTGTGTATGTCGCCTCGGTGTTTTGGAACGCACCACCACTTTTTATTAGGCAGTCTTCATCCATTGATGTTTTTAAATCTCGGTTGAGGACTCACTTTTAGAAATTGGCTTTTGTACAATGACTCTTTATTGTGTTTTTACTGATTGTTCTTATCTGTGTTGTGATGTTGTTTTATGATTGTTTTGTGCAGCACTTTGGTCGGCTCACATGTCGTTTTCAAATGTGCTGTAGAAATAAAGGTGGTATGGTATGGTATGGTATGGTATAACAGCTTTTTTTAGCTTATATTTTAACTGATTACTTTTATTATTAATTAATTAATTCATTTATTTATTCTTAATTTCATCCTATACGTTTTATTTAATCAGAGTTTTAATATAAAGATTCACCTTTTTAGCTTAGCTCTTAACTGATTATTTTTGTGACTGATTTATTTGTTTTATTTATTTTATTTTTAAACATTCTATTCTATCAAAATTTTACCATCTTATATTTTAACCTTATGTTATCTTTTTCCAGTGTTTCCTCCATGGGAGCCCTCTGCCCCGGGGGCGGTGGTCGGCTGTGGCGGCCTGGGTGCTTTCCGGGTGTGCCTGGGGTGAGGTGGGGGTCTCCGCCCTCCCTCCCCTGGGCGCCCTGTGTTGGTGCCTCGGCTGCTGCTGCTATCGGGGCGGATGGCTCCCCTGATGGTGTTTCCTTGACTTAGCTTGTCTGGCTCATCTGAACTCAGCCCAGTGTGTTCCATTTTTTATCATATGTCTTTGTATGTATGTCAGACGATGAGTGTAATGGGGGATTATTATTGTTATATTGCTTTTAAATTTATGTGGGGGGGGGGGGGGGGTCTGTGGGGTCATTTTAATCTGTAAAGCACTTTGAGTTGCATTTATTGTATGAATGGTGCTTTATAAATAAAGTTTGATTTGATTTTTAATAATTTTCCCAATGAAAGGGAGATTAGAGATTGGTCTGTAGTTTCTCACCTAATTTTCTTTTTTTTTCAGAAGAGGCTTAACAGCAGCAGTTTTCATGGGTTTAGGGAAAAAAACTGACATTAAGAATGAGTTTTTAACACCAATAATAGTAAAAACTCACTCTGTAGCCAGATTGCTCCGATGTGGCTGTAGCACTGGTCTGCTTGCATTAGTTAGCATTAGCTTAAAATTAAAATCAATACTTTGGTAACACTTTACAAGAAGGGTCCCTTTATAAACGTCCCTTTGTGTATTATTAAGCATTACCAAAATATTAAATAAAGTATTAACAACTGTATTACCATATTATGTACTGCATTACTAAGCAGCCCCCCCAACCCTTTATCCTAACCTTAAGGACACATATTAGTAAATAATAACTGGAACATTGATAAGGGATCTTTTGTTTATTAATACAACATGTAATGTTAATAAATTGACTCTTATTGTAAAGTGTTACCAATAATTTAATATTATTATTATTTTTTTAAATATTATTATTATTATTAGTAGTAGTAGTAGTAGTAGTATATTTATTATTATTATTATTATTATTATTAATATTATTATTATTATCATTTATGTTAATTTGACAATCCCATTGACCCCAAATAAATATAAAAATTATAAATTATATAAATATTTTCATATATTTGGTCTGTGTGTAAATTAAAGGGGACATTTTTGAGTATTTTTTCTCATGTTCTCAGCTATAAAATAGTTATTTTTACATTTGTAAAATGAAACCCTGCAATATTGTTATTTATATTTGAGTTTCAGACGGATTTGTAAATCCCGCTCAAATGAAGGAAATTTCCTGTAATGGTGTGACACGATCTTCTGGGCTTTAGCTTTGGTTGGAACTCTTTCATGACCGGCAGCTTTTTTCTACGTGAACAAAAAGCTTAAAGCAAGCCAGAAAAATCATATTACAGTAGTCCATATTTGACAGCTTGATTGTTATTAGAGCTGCTCGACAGTTGCCAGAGTCTTGAGCTCTGGCACGTTGGTCTCATTGCCCGCTACGCTGCAGCTCCTCTCCTTATCCTTGCCTTTGAAAGGCTTCCCGAGTTTAACGGACAGCGTCTGCAGTACCGAGGTCTCGTCTGGAGACGAGCCGCTCCGCCCGCTGCGGGTGACGGAGGACGTCCTGCTCTCTGAGTTGGTAGCCTCAAACAGTCTGCCCATGAAGCTCAGCCCGGCCTGGCGGATGTGGGAGCTACCAGCAAATACATAAAGGAGGGGGTTGACGGCGCTGCTGAAGTAAGCGAAGGCTGTGACGTTGGGTCGGGCTGTGAGAGCTGCCCCAGTCACTGATTCACTGTCTTCTAGGAGGCCCACCACCTGAGGGGGTGGAGTTAAACGTTAGATGGGAAACAGTTTTTGGACAACCTTTAAAGAAAGGAGATTATCAGATTCACCTCGATGATGTTGACAATGTGATAGGGCAGCCAGAACAACGCAAAGGCACAGATGATCATCAGGATCAGGCGGCTGCCTTTTCCTCTGCGATGAAACTTGGCGCTTTGCAGTCTGCAGATGACGGAGGAGTAACACGTGCTGATGAGGGAGAAGGGCACCAGGCAGCCCATGATGGTCTCAAACAGGTACTGAAAGCTCCGGTGGCCCACACTCCGCCAGTGGTATGGCATGCACAACCTTAAGGTGAAGTTGTTCTTTATAACCTTCACGTTGCTGTTGGGAAAAAGTCAAAACGAGAAAAAAGACATAAGTTAACAAATAAAACACTAGAACAAGAAAGCATGTACGTCTCTAACAAAAACACAGAAAGACAGTAGTCGATATGGTGTAGGTTTTATTTACGGTAAAGTTTACCGTCTCACTATTGTTGCAGCTCACACTTAAAAGACTGTTCACCAGTTTGGGGGCCCTTGTGGCCGGGGGACCCCAATAAACTGCCTGTTAGCACATGGCACCTCTGCCCACTGCTCCTCAGGAATGGGTCGAATGCAGAGAAATACATTTCCCAAGGAGATCAATAAAGTATCATCATGTTCCCATTCCCGTCTATCAGCTAGGAACTGCTTCACACAGTAACTAAGGCTTGGTTTGCAGGAAGTGAACACAGTAGTGATCCAAGCGTGGCCATCTGTAATAACTCCAGATTTAATCCTACAACCATTATGTCACAGGAACACATTTGCTGACAACTCGCAAAGGACATTTTTGTGTTTTCCTAGTCAAATAAATAATTTATCAGACATGTAGAGTCCAGTTCCATCCACTTATAGTAAATGCTTAGTTAACCTGTCATGTTTTAATTGTTGGTAAAACAAATGTTTACTTTTATTAACCTGAATCAAAACAGTGTTTACAATCCCCTACTAAATAAAGAATCCTAGAATCTTCTGATTAAACACCGTAAAGGCCGAGCAGGGTTGGTATTCTATATTTAAATAGAGTATCACAGCTTATTGGTCATAAGTAGAGGTAATATATTTATATTGAGCTCTTAAAGCACTCAATTTGCCAAACCCTATAGACAGGACCAACGTAGTTGTCGGTAAACACGTTTCCAATACTTCTCAAGGTGCTGTTTGAGTCAAGAAGTGCCGTGGATGTGAAACAACTTTAGAGAGGTAAGAGACTGAATTATAAATGGTAACTCTCTCCCCCTGAGCCTGAGATCATACCATCTTTATGCAGATGACATCCAACTGTACATCTCCTTCAAGCCCCATGAGATGTCTAAGCTGCAGCTGTTACACACCTGCTTAGACTCTATCAAAACCTGGATGCTGGGAGCTTTCTTCAGCTGAATGAAGATAAGACTGAGATCCTCATCTGTGCCCCAGACAAGCTGGTTCCCAAAGTCAGAGACTCTCTTGGTCAGCTTGCTTCTCACACCAAACCTTCTGTCAGGAATCTTGGCGTGACCTTTGACCCAGCTCTCACCCTTGGATTCTCATGTCAGTTCTCTTGTTCGCTCTTCCTTCTTCCATCTCAGGAACGTTGCTAAGCTGAGTCCCATTCTGTCCCGCTCTGAACTTGAGACAGTTCTCCACACCTTCATCTCCTCACGCTTAGACTACTGTAACTCTCTTTTCACGTGTCTGAGCAGAACCTCCCTGAACCGTCTACAGGTGGTTCAGAACGCCTGTGCTCGGCTTCTGACCAAGTCCTCCAAACACACCCACATCACCCCGCTTCTCCTCCAGCTTCACTGGCTGCCAGTCAACTTCAGGGTTCATTTCTAGATCCTGGTTCTGGTCTATAGGGCCTTACATGGACAAGCACCATCTTACATTGGTGATCTTCTTAGTCCCTACACCTCCAGCAGGTCCCTGAGGTCCAGTGATCAAAGCCTACTGGTTGTGCAGCACCAGGCTAAAGGTCAAAGGTGACAGATCATCTGCTGCTGTGGCCCCCAGACTCTGGACCTCTCTCCCCCTGAGCCTGAGATCAGTGGACTCAGGGATCTCCTTTAAAAAGCTGAAAACTGACCTGTTCAGGCTTTGGTATGACATTCATCACCCTCTCCTTATTCTGCCTTGCCCAGGATCCACTGATTTCCTATTCTCTCTCTCTCTCTCTCTCTCTCTCTCTCTCTCTCTCTCTCTCTCTCTCTCTCTCTCTCTCTCTCTCTCTCTCTCTCTCTCTCTCTCTCTCTCTCTCTCTCTCTCTCTCTCTCTTTCTTTCTTTGCATTTTTAAATCACAATTGTCTATTTTTGCTCACTTTAAATATATTTTTAATCATTTTCTAAATTCTTTTTTCTATTTTAAATGTTTTGTTTTTGTGAAGCGCCTCATAATCTTTATCTTGAGTGGCGCCATAGAAAAGACCGTTTTCTTTCTTCTTTTCTTTAAAAAGCAGCTGAAAACTCACCCGTTCAAGCTGGCCTACTTCGTCACCACGTATTCCCTCTTTCCTCCTATTCTGCCTTTCCCCGGATCCAATAATTTCCATCTTTCCTATTCATTTTCTTTCTCTCTTTCTTTGCATCTTTAATCACAATTTTGTTTTCTCTCATTTTAAACATACTTGTATTCATTTTTGGAAATCTTTTTTATATTTACATTTGTTGTTTTTGTGAAGCGCCTTGTGATTTTTATGTTGAGAGGTGCTTGTATAGGATTGTTGCCTTTCTTTTTTTCTAATCATAAACTGAGACGTGATAAATTTACAATTTTATATATATATATATATATATAAATATACATATGTATATGTATATATATATATATATATATATATATATATATAAATATACATATGTATATGTATATATATATATATATATATATATATATATATATATACATATATATTCATATATATGTATATATACATATATATTCATATATATGTATATATATACATATATATTCATATATATGTATATATATACATATATATGTGTATATATATATATGTATATATATACATATATATATGTATATATATATGTATATATATACATATATATATACATATATATATATATAGTATGTAATCCAGCTGCTGAAAACTCCTTTTCAAAGTAGCATAAGTACTAATTCAGCATGACTTCCACTTCAGAGATCGAAAACAGTCACAGCCAGTCTTAATGATCATTTTGTTTTATTATTATTCTAATTAAATTAGGTTTGGTCATGAAGTCAGAAAATGTAAGACTTAACAACACCAGCAACTACAGATTATAACATCTGTATCAAACCAGATGACTGGTTGTGCTGATTTCATGTTTGTTACGTCTTTAGGGTATTTCCAGACATTTTCAAATCAGGTCGTCAAAAAAATATATAAATTTCCAAAATTTCATGATTGTTTGGAATTCGCAATAAGGAGATGTGTTGTTATGTAGATGTTGACATCTGGGATCATCCGGTGGCTAATCAGTGAGGCGTACCTCACACAGACAGGTACCATGTCGGTTAAAACCTGAGTTTAGCCCATAAACGGCTGTTCTACAGGTTAGGTGACCAAGGTTGTCTGCAGATCCTGTAAGGAGTTAAGCCTAGTTTATGCTTCTGCGTCGCTACGGAGAAACGCAACGCTATTATCCGCCAGTATACGGAGTCGAGCTCTCTTTTCTAAGCGTCCGTCGAACGAGACGAAGAACGCAAGCTTGTGATTGGCCAGGACACTGCTTTCGTCAACAGCACTGCCATTGCCCGCTCAAAAACAAAGATATCTAGCGGCAGACACAGAACAGATTGAAGAATACCTCATGGAAAAGCTCAAAGAACTATGAACGTTTCTTCCCCCATGACTAGAGGAGTAAAAAGATGGGCAGCAAGCATTTTATTTGTGGACGGGAATGACGGGAAACCTTTTGTGTAACAACTTTGTGTAATTCTGTGCTAGGGAATCTCGGTACTTGTCAATCTCTGTTTTAGCTGCTTTGCCTTTTTGTGCAGGGACAACTCTACACTCGTTTCTTTTGTAGTTAAGATTCATCACAGGTGGAGGAACCCCCCACTGTCTGGTTTTCATGCTGTTACCCAATGAGCTTGAAGGTAATAGACAAACAACATTGTCAATCCCCAAGAACTTCTGGACTTGACTGACTTTGTTCCTTTTCCTCTCCGTGTTTTCTCACTTTTCACCATCCGTCACCATCAGGCTGCTTATCCCTCAGCCTGGTTCTGGTTGTGTTCAGCATGGGGAATTGTATTAATAGAAAGATTTAATGCAGTCTGCTGAGTTCCTAAATCTGATCTTTTGTTAAGTTTAGAGGAACATTTATTGACTTGTTTTGTGATTAAGTCCTTTATGAATAAACTGAGTTGAACTGGATGTATTAAACATGTATCAGGGCCCTGTGATGGACGGGCGACCTGTCCTGGGTTGTTGTTCCCAACTAGACATAGGCAGCCTAAGTCACGCCCCTCTACTTCTGGCTCACGCGTCCCCGGAAGAACGAAAACATTTGTGCAAGTCAACGGGGCTAAAAACGCTATTTTCTAATTCCGCTTGTTATGTACCATGGATTTCACATATGATGTCTGTGAATTTTAAAGACGCATTTCGATACCAAGAACGCGCTTTTTTTTTTCAAACGGGGAAAATAATACGTTTCACAAAAGTGACATCATCGAACCAGACACGGAGAAAACTGAGGGAAAATGGCTGTGAGTTCAGCAAACTTCCCACAGGAGGAAAGAGCCACCATAAATCTGGTGATTCGGTAAGTAGCAGCTACGCTAGGGGAGAGGAGATTATGTGGTGATGTCACATATGCGACGTGCCGGTTTCTGGTGCGTAGTCATGCTAATTATAAACTTTTACAAGCTGATAAATCCCAAAGTACGTGACTGGCGTGGTCGAAACGCCCGTCATTACTTTTCATTTAAATTGCAGTACAGCATATGTGCGATCCAGGGCATAAAGCAAAGTGGATTAGAAAATAGCGTTTTAGCCCCGTTGCATTAATTTTTTCGTCCTTCCACCCATGAGCCGACCGGAAAGGGAGGAGACTTGGGCTTCCTATAGGACTTTAGTCATAATTTTCATCTTAACTCTAAGGAAATGTATTGACAAAAGAACACAATACTACATGTCTATAAATACACAGAACAGGAAAATAAACTGAAATGTGTACTTATATTATGTAGTAAATGCTAGTGTTGTAATCTGGGGGAGTTAGTACATGAGTAAGCCAATAATGATGATGATGACACTGGAAAAAGAGGAATAGGACTGGACCTGACTTTTACTCATTTTCATTGTTCCTCATTTGCAGCAATCTACTGGAGATGTCTTACTCATCTGTGCCCCAGACAAGCTGGTTCCCAAAGTCAGAGACTCTCTTGGTCAGCTTGCTTCTCACACTTAGGCCTAGTCCACACGTAGCCGGGTTTTTTGAAAACGAATATCCGCCCCTCCAAAAACTTGCATCCACACCACCTCGTTTTAAAAACAAACTGTCCACACGTACCCGGATAAATATGTTGTTAAGGACATGCCAGACCTGTAGGCGGCAGTACTTCCCCCGTTCTTAACCTCGTCCTTCGTCTGTGGTCTTCCGCAAGGAGCAGTAATTCCGCTTGCAAACACAAACAAGCAGAAAGCGCTTGGACAATTGATAAAGCGAGCGCAGCTCTGAGGGCATCCATGCTGTCGGCTAGTGTAAACACAGGTCGCACACGTGATGTCAGCATTTTTTGTCGCGGAAAGTGACGTTGCGGACCTTAAAACTCCGGTTTTGTCCGTCCACACGCAGACACCCAAAACGGAGAAAACGCAGATCTTCACTTTGGCCGGAGTTTTTAAAAAGATCCGTTTTCGTGTGGATGACAGGCCAAAACGTAGAAAAATATCAACGTTTTGGCAGATCCCCGGCTACGTGTGGACAGGGCCTAAACCTTCTGTCAGGAATCTTGGCGTGACCTTTGACCCAGCCTTCACCCTGGATTCTCATGTCAGTTCTCTTGTTCGCTCTTCCTTCTTCCTTCTCAGGAACGTTGCTAAGCTGAGTCCCATTCTGTCCCGCTCTGAACTTGAGACAGTTCTCCACACCTTCATCTCCTCACGCTTAAGACTACTGTAACTCTCTTTTCACGTGTCTGAGCAGAACCTCCCTGAACCGTCTACAGGTGGTTCAGAACGCCTGTGCTCGGCTTCTGACCAAGTCCTCCAAACACACCCACATCACCCCGCTTCTCCTCCAGCTTCACTGGCTGCCAGTCAACTTCAGGGTTCATTTCAAGATCCTGGTTCTGGTCTATAGGGCCTTACATGGACAAGCGCCATCTTACATTGGTGATCTTCTTAGTCCCTACACCCCCAGCAGGTCCCTGAGGTCCAATGACCAAAGCCTACTGGTTGTGCAGCACCAGGCTAAAGGTCAAAGGTGACAGATCATCTGCTGCTGTGGCCCCCAGACTCTGGACCTCTCTCCCCCTGAGCCTGAGATCAGTGGACTCAGTGGTCTCCTTTAAAAAGCAGCTGAAGACTAATCTGTTCAGGGTTTGGTGTGACCTTCACCACCCTCTCCTTGTTCTGCTCTCCCCACCTATTCCACCTTCCTCAGGATCCACTGATTTCCCTCTTTCCTTTTCACTCTCTCTCCTTCTTTACATTTTTAATCACAATTGTCTATTAAACATCTTTTGTACGTTCTTGCTGTTTGTCTTCAAATTCCATTTTTGGTTCTTTTTGTAAAGACAGATAAGGTTTTTTCTTTACCTCGCTAACGTTTCGTTTGCCGACTGCAAACATCCTCAGAGCTGACGCTGATGGTGGCGTCACTTCCTACTCCGTTTATCCGCGGGAAGCAGTAATCAGAACATTATATCACCGAGCAAACATGGTAACAGAAGAAAGAGACCGTAAACAAGAGGACAAACACATACAACACGCTTTAAAGACCTGCGGATACCCGACATGGGCAATAAACAAAGGAAAACAACAAACAACAACCAAAGCAAAGAACCAGAAACCCAGAAAGACAAGAACCAGAACCAGTGATAACCCTACCATACATCAGAGGCATAACAGAAAAAATAAGAGCAACAATGAAAAAACACAACATAAACACACCAACAAAACCATACACAACAGTTAGAAACAGACTAGTACACCCAAAATACAAAATATCAGCTGGACTTAAATGTGGAGTCGTTTATGAAATCCCATTCAAACTCTGCAATAAAACATATGTAGGAGAACCCGGACGCCAACTCAACACACCAACAATAGAACATAGAAAGGAGTGCGAGAAAGAAACAAGTCAAAGACACACAAGAGCAGCAAGAGAAGAAGCAGAAAGCACAATAAAGAAGTCAGCCGTAACAGATCACTGCACAAGAGAAAACCATGTAATGGACTGGGACAACACAAGGATCATAAACACCGAACAACAGAAACACAAAAGATGGATAAAAGAAGCTATCGAGATAAGCAGACGTGGATGTGGGACCATGAACAGAGACGATGGGGTTTACACGCTGGATCGTGCATGGGACTGCATCATCCGGGAGGGGTCGAGCGGGCAGCAGAGGGCGACAACGTCCTCTGATGCCCGCGGATAACGGAGTAGGAAGTGGCGCCACCATCAGCGTCAGCTCTGAGGAAGTTTTGCAGCCACAAACGAAACGTCAGCAAGGTAAAAAAAAAAAACAACCTTTCCTGTGTTTTAAAAAGAACCAAAAATGGAACAATTGTCTATTTTTTGCTCATTTTAAATATATTTTTACCATTTTCTAAATTCTTCTTTATATTTAACATTTTTGTTTATGTGAAGCGCCTCGTGATTTTTATCCTGAGAGGCGCTATAGAAAATATCTTTTCTTCTTCTTCTTCTTACCTGCGGTAGAAAGGCATCGGCACTGACAGGAGGAACGCCAACATCCACACCCCCAACAGGAGAACCAGCAGGGAACGCTTGGTTCTCATCCTCTGAGACAGGAAAGGCCTTGTGACAGCCAGCCAGCGGTCCATGCTCATCAGACAGATGAGGTAGATGGACACATACATATTCACGGACGACAGGTAATGGACCAGTTTGCACGCCGCCGTGCCAAACTCCCAGTCCATTCTTGCCAGGTACCGTAGGAAGAGCGGTGCGCTGAGCAGCACAAAGGCATCAGCCAGGGCAAGGTTCAGCACCAACAAACACGTCACCGAACGCTTCTTCACTCGGCAAAGCACAGACCAGACGACAAACATGTTCCCAGGGAAACCCAGCACAAAGGCCACGGTCAGGATGGCAATGCCGACTCGGGCTGAGGTGCTCACGGGCAGGGAGCCGGAGCCAGGCGAGGAGGACTGCGGGAAGGAGGTGGTGTTCATACCGGTTCCTTATAATAAATCTCTGAGGATTTCTGGCTTCTGGAACTGGGAAACGGCCAAACCCTGTTTAAAAAGAGGACGAAATGAGTTAACAGGATGTGTTAAGATCAAATCACTGAATGCTGCAATAGTTGCGCAATGTGTGTGTGTGTGTGTGTGTGTGTGTGTGTGTGTGTGTGTGTGTGCCATCTTCATAAAGCAGAGCCGTATTAAACCATCGGTCTTTGACAACATCTGATTTAGTGCGTTTTTGTTTCTTCGTTTCTAGTCAATTTTAACTATTTTAGATTTTAAGAACTAAAAGGAACAGAAATATAATTAAAACAGACCCTTTAAATGCAACGCCTATTAGGACAGGTTTACCATTTAACTGTCTAAACACACTTACTGTAAAGCTGCTTTCCATTAAGATTAAATGTGAATAATAAATCCAGTCATGATAAACGATGAGAACTCAAGACAAAAAAATAATTATTTCTAAAACTAAAAACAATCAATCTCACAAACAGCTGCATTGATTTTTATAGACAAAGAATAAAATTAGATTTATAATAAATTAACTCACCTATATTTAATGGTGTCTTTTGAAAGTTGGAAGATTAAATCAACTCTAAACATCTGCACTTTCCCAGCTTCCTCTGAAGACTGTTGACACTCTAGATCTACGGCGTGTTGGGTTAAATCAGTCACGAGAGGGGAAAACCAGTGACCATGAATTGGAAGGTAGCCCATTTTCTTCCTCGTTCCATTTTTTTTTTTTTTTTTTTTTGGTGTTTGCAGAGTGGTGTCATAAACATGATGCAACACTTCCTGGCACTGGCTTGAGCAGCCGGTCTTATGTCAAGCTGTGTTTTCAGGTTTTCAATAAACAAATGTGGCTCATGGTTTAGAATGTATTTATGGGTTAAAGGGGAAAGATCTCCCGCCTGAACAACACTATTCTAGTGGTGAGTCTAGAGGTGAATGAATACACGTAGAAAGCGAGCACATAGAGAAATCAATGTTTCTGTGCTCCATAGATCAGCCTGTGACAAAGTGACTGTGTCCAGACTGTTACTATAACTGGCAAACCTTCACACCGTCACCCGTGAGTTTTTGAAGAGCTAAAGGAGTCCAATGAGCTGATCCCATCACTGCCATCTCAGCCAGGTCATCTCCTTCCCTCACTTTCATCCTAAAAAATGAAAAAAAAAAATGGAGCAGAGTGTGGAGCTGTCAGGGTTGTGGCAGATGAGTGTCACTCACCAGACTCTCGGCCGATGTTGCTACAAGCTAGTTGAGCTAACGGTTGAGCGACTCTGCTACCCTCTGCCTTCTGGCTTTAACACTTAACGTGAGGCTGAGGCCTTCCCTGGGGCAAGTGACTAGTGCTTAGCCTGGTCTGCCAGACTCGTCCTCTGTTTAATCCCGCACAGAGAACGAGTTCTCACAGGCAGAGAGGCACTTGAAAAGGTGGGACTAGGCAGCTCAAAAATAACCAATCAGAAAAAAGACGGAAATGCCGACTGTACCGCGCTGTAGTTGTTTAGCTGTAGTTTAAAAAAAAGGTGTCTGGCGACGGCGCAAACACCTTTTATTTTTTTAGAAGAAATGCTTTTAGTGCTTCTACTTATTGTGGTTTTAAAGACATTCAAGCCATTTAGAAAAGAGGAAAGAGCGAACTCCGCCGCTGTCTTTGTTGTTTATGAGAAACTGAGCGTCGCTGTGTGTGACGTCCCCGACGCTGTAGTTTTCTAGCTGCAGTCAAAAATGGCGACTGGCGACAACGCAAACATCTTTCTTTTGAAGAAAGGCTTTTACCGCTTCTACTTGTTGTTTTAAAGACGTTCAAGTCATTTAGAACAGCGGAAAGCGCCGCAGCGAACTCCGCTTCTGTCGCAATGTTTATGACAAATTTGGCGTTGTGGTGTGAGACGTACGCTGCTCAGCGCTGATTGGCTCGGTTAGAATTTCACGGGGCGGGGTTATTGAATAGGAGAGTTCCCAGACTCTTTTTCTGTGCAGGCTTAAACAGAGGAGGAGTCCGGAAGGCCAGGCAAGCTAGCGCTAGCACTGATGGCTCATCTGCTACCATCAGTCAAAAGGACATGTCCGTATGTATTCATAATTTCAAGCTTTAGTTGGCTCTAAATGGATGACGGGTGTTACTAAACAATGTATAAATTAACTGAACTAAACCTTCAAACTTGGACAGCATGTAAAAACAAAAGAAAGTTGTATCTTTGGTAAAGCACCATTTTTGAATACGTTTAGCAGCACACACGTTTGCTGTTCACTACTGAAACAAACTGAAGCTCTTATCATGACGTGAGGAGGGTGAATATTCCAGTACAGACTGACTAGATCTTGTTGTTACACGAGTTTCTAACCAAGTCACAGTCTTTAACACTGTTTGTGCTCTTGCATCAGACTTTTACGGCAAGTTCTTCTTTCTACATTTGTGCTAACTCAAGGGGGACAGGATGTATTCAGTTTCATAACTGATGTGTCACGTTTCAGTTCAGAGAGTACTTAGGCTGACAAACAAAACATAAATGGACAAGTTACAAAGTTATTATTTTAAATTCAGTTTTGTTCAGGTGATCCGAGTGTCAGTTCCAGTGGAAACAACTTATTCCAGCTGATATGGAGGAGCAGCCTCTCTCCTCCAAGCTGTAATGTAATGCAAAAACAGAACACTGAGATTTTCTAAATAACTAGAAATGTTCAAAAATGTATCAGATGCATCACTGGAGTTGAAAAAAATTACAATTCACAGCAGTTCCACTTAAGATTTTTTCTTTTGGGGTTCCAGAACAAAAAAAAATTCCAAGGTGACTCAAATACATCCGGGTAATTCTGTACTAAAACTGAAAAATACACAAGGGTGGACTGGCCATCTGATCAACACCCCCCACCCCCACCCCCTGGACCGCAAGTTGCAACACCCCAACCTTTAAAGAGTAACTAAACCCCAGAATACCTTTACTTTTGCTAATTAACTGTTTATCTGGGTCTTTACAAATGCAATCTTTCTGTGTCTGTGCATTTTTTAAATGTTTGTGTAAACTTGCTTAAATCTAGAATCTAGGTCTAAAACCACCTTAGTGCTGCCCCCCTGTGGCAGAACAGCAGCTTCCACGGCAGTCACGTAACGCCACGTGACACGGGAGATAACGTATTTTATACGTATTAGTTTCAATATAAATATATAACGAGCCTTTCACTTTTAAAATTGGGTATGGGAAGAGGTTCTGCTCAGACACGTGAAAAGAGAGTTACAGTAGTCTAAGCGTGAGGAGATGAAGGTGTGGAGAACTGTCTCAAGTTCAGAGCGAGACAGAATGGGACTCAGCTTAGCAACGTTCCTGAGATGGAAGAAGGAAGAGTGAACAAGAGAACTGACATGAGAATCCAGGGTGAGAGCTGGGTCAAAGGTCACTCCAAGATTCCTGACAGAAGGTTTGGTGTGGGAAGCAAGCTGACCAAGAGAGTCTCTGACTTTGGGAACCAGCTTGTCTGGGGCACAGATGAGGATTTCAGTCTTATCTTCATTCAGCTGAAGAAAGCTCCCACCATCCAGGTTTTGATAGAGTCTAAGCAGGTGTGTAACAGCTGCAGCTTAGACATCTCATGGGGCTTAAAGGAGATGTACAGTTGGATGTCATCTGCATAAAGATGGTAGGAGATTCCTTTGAAGGAGCTCAGGATGTGCTGAAGAGGAAGCAGGTAGAGGAGGAAGAGCAGCAGCCCCAGCACAGAGCCTTGTGGGACACCATGGGTAAGAGAGGTGGTGGAGGACCTAAACTTGGAGACGGCCACAGAAAAGGAGCGCTCAGAGAGATAAGAGGAGAACCACTCCAGAGCAGATCCTGATAGGCCTACCCAGCCTCTCAGCCTCTCCAGTAGCAGGTGATGGTCAACAGTGTCAAAGGCTGCACTCAGGTCCAGCAGGACCAGAACAGAACAGTCCCCTGCATCACTGTGAGTCAGCATGCTGAAACATATATAAATCTTCCAATGTGATCATAGCATAACATTCATTTAAAACTTCAATCACAGATTAATGAAAGCATTTCATTATATTATAATTATTATAAGTTACAATAAACAAACTTTTATTTAATGATTATTTAACTTATAAGTTTTAAATGTTCATATTTCATTTAAGAAATCATTATTTGATTTAGCAACTAATCCGAGCTGCGAGTGTTCACTTATTCAGAGGCATGAATGATAAGGGAAGCCTTGAGGAGAGAACATCACTGTTGACAATACGTTATCATGTGTTCAGAGCTGCAGAGAGGCTCTGAGCTTCAGCTGATGGGATGAAGGCAGGCAGATTAAAGGGAACACATGCAGTCTCATGCCTCCATTTTGACCAGATATTGAAGGGTCAAACTGTACTTAAAAACTGACCATTGCTGGACATTACAGAAGCAAGTCGATTCAAGTCACAAGTCATCGTTATTCAAGTCTGAGTCAAGTCTTTATAAATTTTATCAAGTCATGTCAGAAGTCATTGAAATAATGACTCGAGTCCGACTCGAGTCCAAGTCATGTGACTCGAGTCCACACCTCTGCATTTAGTGCATCATTGAAGAGTAGCAGCAGAGGACCCGACTGCTTGCATGGACAGCTTGCTCTGAAGTTATAACAAAATAGTTTTTTATTTTATATTTTTTTACAAATAAAGTGAAAATTGTTACCCTGATTTACAAAATTTTATAAAAATAATAACAAATAACAAACAAATGAATCATTTATGCACAAAAAGAAGCTATGGACAAAAAGCATCAGCCCTCAGATGATGGGGTCATTAAAAGTATCTAATGGCGTTTTCACATCTGGGTTGGCTCGGAACCGCCCAGGAATGGTATGTTGTGTTCACATCTGGGTAACCAGCGTGTTTTCCGTGCTCAACCGACCATGTTGTCAGACCTTCTCTTCCGGTAGTTCGCTTCAGGCAGAACTGACCCAACACACTGCCTTTGTTTACCAATTAAGGAGGACACTACAGACTTCTCTGAGCGTCTTTAACCCTGCCCACATGCTCGGAGATTCCGTGTTCCAGAGAATGCTGTGTGAACAAAACTTGGCTGTGCTTGACTGGGCCAGTGCTTTCAAGACCAGGCTGGGTCGACCCAGATGTGAATGCACCATTTTTCTCAATGCGTTTCTCGACTTTTAACTTATCGCTGTAAAAGTAACATAACTGTGCAAAAGTTGTGTTTTTTTTCTGAAAGTTTATTGGCGACAGCTTCTGCAAAAAAAATAAAAAATAAGACAAGGTTTTCTGCTTTTACCTTTATAGTTTGGACCAGTATTGGATGTGCATTGCAGTCATTTTTGAGTGGATGGAATCCAGCAGCACCTTTCACAGCACTGGCCCATAGCCACCTTTCTGATTATAGTTGAAAACACCAATTTTAGACCCTCGGTGTGGAAGCATTTCCAGGGTTAGCATCCATGTGATTCCAAAGTCTGTAACAGCAAATGAGTTGTCCCTCATGTTGTCGTCAATGTTTACCAGAAACAAGTTTAGCATGGCACTCTCAATGCTACATTTACATTGGAGATTCAAAGGATGGCTTCTTGTTCCAGAGAGGCCACCATCAAACACATCTCCTTGTTTCTTCTCTATTTATCACATTTTACTTTACTACTTGAATTTGTAGCAGACTCCAGGTCTTCTATGTCTTTGTTTTTGAGCGTAACGATTTCTGCATCTTTGTCTTTGTCCCGGCTATCGTGGCTGTTCTGCCGGCTTTTCCTGTTGCTGTCCAAAGCTGTACGCTCAAACAAGCGAGCCATGAACGCCAGCCCCTCTCGTCTGATGTAGGACTTTCCAGCAAAGAAGTAGAGCACCGGGTTGGCACAGCTGCTCATGAAGGCAACAGATGAGGAAACAGCTCGACTCCGGCGCCATATTGTGTCTAACCTAGTGGGGGAAAATGAACAGGAAATCCAATTTATGACACATTGCAAAGATTTATCACAAAGAACCATCCATCAATTTGTTGCCACCAAATATTTTGGTTGAGATAAGTTGGATTTTAGGTTTTCTATTGAAATGACGCAAAGTGAAATTCCACTTCACATTAAACTAGTCTACCAGCTTATTCTACTCTCCTAGCACCGCCTTAAAAAATAATGCAGATATTTTGAAAAGAGATATTTATAATTATGCAAAAGTCAAGAATTTTGTAGAAGCTCTCATCTAAAGCAAATTATATATACCCAAGGCAGGTAAAGTGTTTTGCCTATCAACATATAAAAATGTGGACATAGCACGCCCATTGCTCCACCGGGGGGAAAGTTGAAGCTAAAAATGGGAGGTTCCCACCACTGATATTTTGACCGAGTCATGCCCAGACAATCCACAAATTGGGAAAAGAAGTGGAGCTGAGGGTGGGACTGTTACGTTTAGAACAGAGTTGGAACAAATGCAACCGATGCAGCTACTAGCTAACCCAACAATCTAAGAAGGGCTCCAAGGAGCGGGTAGCTTGCTCGCATCAACGACTGGCTCCCGTGCAAGGCTGTAGTCATGCTGGTCACCTGTGGAGATCTAAGATGGACTGGAACTGTTAAATTACAAGCAGAGCCAGACCACTGTGACCGGGAGCCCTGGCCTTTTGGATCAGCTCATTCACCACGGATAGAGATCAGCAGGACATTAGCTACATGCTAACCACAAGCTAACTGTTTTCCCCGGCATATTTAGCGTTACCGCATTTTTCCTGCTAAAAATGCCCAGAAAAACTTTGTTAGCTTCGAGTTAGCATGTAGATAATGTCTTGCTGATCTCCAACTATGGAGAATGAGCTGATCAGAAAGGCCAGGGCTCCCAGTCACATCATTTGGAATCGTAGTATGTCAAAGGAAGGTCCCTTCTTTCTCGCCTCTGATGAGCACTAAGTTCACATTTTCTTCACAAAACTCTTCAAAACAGCTTTCTGTTGGTGGCGATGGCAGGAAAACAGTCTGCACTTAGCATGGGAAGATGGTTTGCTGCTAAATGAAATCGCCAATCAAAGTTACAGGTGACGAAGATGGGATCTTCCTTGGACTTACTACTGCCATGGTCTGGGGTGAGTCCTCCTCTCACATCTAAACTTCTCTGAGCTTCTCCTGCTGGTGGGCGTGTCAAGGAGTGGACCAGTTGCAGTCCATCTGCTCATCAGTTGGCCAGGGACATGTAAGCTGATGGGAGACATCTTCATTTGCTGGATGATTAGCTCAACTTGGATATCGATGACACGAGCCTCTTTCAGAAGAATCAGTATAGATACCTACTAAGCGTTACTTCTAGACAGTTTAATCTTCTAGTTCCTGTGTGTTTTTTCCGAGCCTGCCTGATTTTTGTGACTTGCTTCTTCTCCAGATTTTCCACCACCACCTTTCACCCTGTCCCGCAACCTACCAGACCAGTCCCACTGTCTCCCAGCCGGTCCCTGGCTATCCTCTCCTTACCGACCATCCACCTTACTGGATCCTGCTCTCAATTCTGTGCTCAGCTCCTCCACCTCTCCAGCAACCTGGAAGCCCAGTCTCCTGTGAACCTGCAAGTGTGTGTTTCCACCTCCCACTCCTCACAGACTCCCCTCAGACCATTTGCTCATTTCTGACACCAGCCCCCTAGTGGATGAGGGTGGAACTGTAATCTGGTAACAGCATGTCTACAGTTTCAAAATAGGGTCCTAACCAAATCCCAATTACAAAAATGTATTAAAAGATAGTTAGATATAAGTAGAGGATACAGTTAGAGCTAACACCGAATTTTACTTATTGGTATAGAAACTAAATAAGCTAATCACCTTCGGTCTTTGATTCAGACTAACCTCATACATCAGGATCAGTCATATGTCCGTTTTAAATCCTGCACAGTTGCATCATGAGCTTTTACACCACACAGATTTTAAAAAGAATGACCTTTGCACCAAATGTTATTAATGTAGAGTTGGCGAGTGCTTTTGCAGATCACTTACATTGCTTTGACTTTACCCTCTGGACAGAGAGCCCACGTAACCTGAGTGCAAAACAATGATTTCATTATTGAGAGTAAATATGTTGACTGATGACAGCATTGACAGTATGATGAACCAGACATACTTGCACCATGTTGATAAGATGGTAAGGCAGCCAAAATAGGCAGAAGGTCAACACAATGGCCATAATTAGCTTTTCGCTGCGAATGCGACGGTGGAATCTGGTTCGTCTGATCCGTCGCAGGATGCAAATATAGCTAACTAGAATGACTCCATAAGGTATTAGAAATCCCAGTACAAGTTCCAGCATGTACTGCAAAACCACCTGTTCAAGGCAAAGGAAATAAAGATAGAAAGATACATGAAAAGTTCCCTCTGGTCATTGTAGCACACACTCCTAAAACGAGATAAAACATCCTTACTTGCATGTCTTCATCGTGAAAGCAATCACACGCCATGCCTGGGGAAGTCCTTTTTGGCCTCACTTCTCGGAAGAAAAGTGCTGGAATAGAGGCGATAACCACAAACCCCCATACAACTGCCAGCACACGCATGATCGTCCTCTTGCCAGTGATGACACTAATCCGCCGTGGCCACAACACCGACAGCAGTCTAAAAATGCTCATCACCATGATGAGGTAAATAGAGGCATACATGTTGAGCAAACAGAGGTAGAAGAGGATTTTACACATCACATTGCCAATCGTCCAGTTCATCATTGCAAGGTAGGCAATGAAGAATGGGGTAAGAGCCATTAGGGAGCCGTCAGCAATGGATAGGTTGAGAATGAGTAGGGTTGTAATGGATTGCTTTCGAGCTCTAGCCAGGATGCTCCAGGTGACAAAGATGTTTCCAGGGAATCCCACAAGGAAAACCAGACTTAAGATCAGTGTGCCCATGGCTGTGGCAGCTTTATTTTCCACTATGGTTTCATTTGTGGAGCTTGCAGTCGAAGAAATATTACTTGGGATCATTTTGTCACCTGTCAAAAAAAAAGAAAAAGAAAATGGTGAATAATTTTCTTAAGAAATGAGGTCCCCTATACAGTTTTATATTTTTATTTTTTACAATTGGAAACTGTTCTTTGAACCTCCATACAACATATTCTCAGAGTGAGGAGACCAGTGAGAGGACCATTGAGCGAGAAGGTTTGTATCAGTGGTGATGGCTTAGTTAGAGGCTCCATGTGTGATCAGTCCTGGTGTTTAGTACCAGGGATAGACGGCTGTGATTGGTGGAACAATGACTATGAGATGTCTGGATTAGGGCTGGGAAATATACACACATCCTTAAAAAGTTGATATAATTTCAAACAAGATGACTTTATATCAATACAACTCAACTAGCCGCTATGCTAGCGACTAGCTTGTGCCGTCTCTAAGCGGCCACTACATGTATTCTCACAAGTCTGCTCAATCAGAAAACCTCTGGGTCAGTGTTCTACCATAAACTTTGCATTTAGCTTCCTGATTTTTTTTTTATTATTTAGAGACGCTCCTTCATGTTTAAGTGAGGCTTTTCCCCATCGCTGCCAAAGAAGATCTATTCATTTATCCTGCTTGTGAGAGACGAGCCAAAACTCTCCTTCCCCCGTGTAATCTGAAAACACCTACGGAGAGCCAGAGTGGCCAAATTTCCTGAAACATATTGTAACGGTTTGAATAGTTAACGTTAGTATTAACGTTTTATTTTGAGGTTAAGAGTTTGTTAGGCGTAGATTATGGCCGACAATAATAACCATAAAAGAGAAACCAGAGACTCTGGGTCCTTACATAATGGTCACTGATATGAGTCAATACTGTTAGATTCCAGCCAGGTTTGCCCTAATAACTCCACGGGGCTTGACCCAGCTGAGTTTAATCGAAAACTCCCATAAAGTGATGCCAAGAAACATCCACTTGTCTTGAGTTGCCAGCTACAAATGTGTGGTGATTAAGTGAAATGGGGCAATTTGGGACCTATCACAGTAAAACTTGACCTTTATGGTCCTGACGGGGCGGGGCTTGTGTGATGTCATCATCCGACCATTCAATTTAGTTTGTGGCTGGATGTCGAATGACCACAGAAATTTTTGTAACTCTATTCGAGTATGAAGTTATAGCCATTTATATTTTTTTGGCGAATAGTCGAAATTCGAGGCCTGGTCCCGCCCCCTCAGCATATATGAAAAGTCAGTTTTATTTTTCTATTTGATCGCCCATCCCTTCTGAGCAATTTCCCACAACTTTCAAGACGATCGTGCGAAAAATGACTGAGTAAATCAATCAGAAGCGAACCCTAGAAACGGCCAAAACGGGGTCAAAATCACCACTTCAAACCAAAATGGCCGACTTCTTGTTTGATGTTGACCATGGTTGCAAGAGGCTTTTCTGTACGGACTCTTGAGTACTACAAGTGTACAAAATTTCATCACTGTACGACAAACTAAGGTTTACGGAGGGGGTTATTTTTCTTTTTCTAGGGGGCGTTGTGGAGCTAGTTTTATCGCGATTTTTTGGGGGACCTTTAAAATACAAAATTTTACACCACTCCTGACATGTGTGCAAAAATTCCTGAGTTTTCGGGTATGTTAAGGCCTCCAAAAAGCCAATTTACTTGGCGGAAGAAAAATAAACAGAGCAGATACAACAGGCCTTCGCAGCGCTTTGGCTGCTCGGGCCTAAAAATCGTTAAAAAATGGTTTTTCAGCGATCCACACCTTTAAGAGATTTAAAGTAAAACACACAAGGTTATCTACATAGAAATATTTAACCATCCTGCTACTTTTTGTGTTGCTTCTGCTTCAGTTTTATTGTGTTACTGCTACATCTTCTGAACTCTTTTTTTTTTTTTGACTGTTATTGATCGCTACAATCTCAAGAATAAAGGCGTTCAAGTTAACTACATTACACAAAAGAAAGAGCCCTTTCTTCAGGCTCCCTCTGGAGTCATAATCTGATGGCTGCAGAATAAGCAGAACTTGGCTTCCTTGCCACATGATCGAAAGGTTGCAGGTTCGAGCCCCGCTCAATCTGTTGCTGTCGTTGTGTCCTTGGGCAAGACACTTAACCTGCTGGGGGTGGTCAGAGGGGCTGGTGGCGCCAGTGCCCTGCAGCCTCGCCTTTGTCAGTGCGCCCCAGGGCAGCTGTGGCTACATTGTAGTTCACCACCACCAGGGTGTGAATGGGTGTGTGAATGGGTGAATGACTGATTGTGTTGTAAAGCGCCTTGGGGGGTTACATGACTCTAGAAGGCGTTATATCAAATACAGGCCGTTTACCATTTACATGTAAAAAAAACTTCTAAATGAGTTTGTAAACAGAACTGAGAACTCATTTACAAAACTTTGTGTAGAATTTAGACTTAAGCTCAGCAAAAATGACCTAAACAAACAAATTTTCTGACCTATAAAACTCAGGGGCGCCTCCAGAAAATTTAGATGGGGTAGCCAGATGGGGTCAAAGAAATTTTTGGGGTGGCACACCAAATTGGTTTTTGTGGTAATTCTGGGAGAATTTAGCCCATGGCGATGTACTGCGTTGCACCTTTATTCGTTTTGATTAAAATAACAGTACGTATCACAAACATTTAACTTAAATTTTACAAACGCAAACATTTTAGAAAAAAGCATTTCAGTTCTTTAAAATGTTATCCCAAATTTAACTTAAAATTTAATTGTTTTAGGTTTGTTCACCTGTTGCTGTGTTCACACACACACACACAAAAAACTATGGAGATAAACACTTATTTAAAATTGTGAGCAGCAGAAACAAGTATATATTTTTTATGTCACGTTCTGCCCCTGCCCTCCTGACTGTGTTTCTCTCCTGCCCTGATTAGTCCGTATTGTTCTCACCTGTCCCTCGTTAACCTGCCCATGTTTCCCTAATTAGCCTTCTGTATTTATAACACCTGTTTTGCTCCTGTCCTTTGTCAGATCATTGTTGCTTGTAGTCCTTGTGTTTTGTTCCTGTCGTTCCCAGTCCTCCATTAAAACCATTTTACTTTTACTGAAGCCTGCATTTTTTACCTCCTGGTCAGCTCTGCCACACATGGTCCGCCGTCATCCACACCTACAACGCAACATTTTATTCTGATTATTTCTTTAGTCATTAATTGTAATATTTTTATTTTATGTCTTGAATAAACAAGATCAGTATATGGTTTGTCTCAACATTAATATGATTTGTTAACACTGGCTTTTCCTGGGGGGGGGGGGGAGCTCGGTACCATGTAGCTTCTTCACCACCCTCTCCTTGTTCCGCTCTTTTTACCCATTCCGCCTTTCCCGTGATCAACAGAATTCCTTCTTTCCTTTTCATTTTCTCTCTCCCCTTCCTCACAATTTTGTAGCGCCTTGAGATTTTTATCTTGAGAGGCGCTATATTCTTTCTTTCTTTCTTTCTTTCTTTCTTTCTTTCTTTCTTTCTTTTCTGCCTTCTAAATCACACCCTAGAAATGTGATCATGTGTGTTTGGGTTGCATCCCGCCTTCCACACACCTACTTTCTACCAAAAATAAACAATGCAAACTATAAATCAGAGGCTTTTCATGGGTAACCATGACAACCGAGACAGAAATCCAGACTCCGGCCCTGACAGAACCTTACTTTCATGAACACAAAAGCGTGGCAACTAGGCTTAGACCTGGAACAGTTGGAATTTTTAAAAAGGACAGAGTACACCACAGATGATGTAGGGCTCTGTTGGGGCTTCTGCCCATGGATGTAATTTTGGGGGGGAACAGGGGGGACATGTCCCTCCCACTTTTTCCAAAGTCAAGTTTTGACCCCTGCACTTTTTACCATCCAAAAACAATATTACGCTATATTAAATTGACACTGGTTGAGCTGTAGGACCAAGCGGAAAGCAACCGTTTGTGTTGAAGCCTGTTTCCCATTAGAACATATTGTAAAGATAACTCCCCCCCCCCTGTCCCCCCTGTCCCCCCCACTTCTAAAGTGAAAATTACGTCCTTGCTTCTGCCTCATGTCCTTGTGCCTTGCAGCGGTGGCCTGCAGAGACTAAATCAGCTCCTGTAATTCCTTCATGTCACCTATAAACGAGAGTATGATTGTAAATGAGTTCATCGAGATAATTATTGCACATAATAACGGTAGTTGTGGTAATATTTCACATGTCGGTGAAGATATTTGAAGTGGAAAGTTACAGATGTACGGGTTCCATATTAGCAATGACCATTAAAGAGTCTAAGAGCAGCAGGAAGCAGAGATCTGCAGTTTCTGTCCTTAACAGAGCGAGGGTGGATCAGTCTGTTGCTGAAGCTGCTCTCCAGAGCAGACAGGGCGTCCTGCAGGACGTGTGACTCGTGGTCTGGCATGGATCTGAGTTTTACCAGCACCCTCTTGTCTTGTCCAGAGGACAACCCAGGACGGAGCTGGACTTCTTCACCAAACCTGTCCAGCTTCTTCGTGTCTCCCTATCTGTGATGCTGCTGTTCCAACAGACCCTAAACCCCGTACCCGGTACCGGGTCCATCAGGGTCAGAGGACTAACTGAGCTTAAAATCATGATGGATTTGTAACCACGTATCACCCACCATCTGCAGCAGGTCAACCAAGGAGAACTGGTTTCTACTAGTATCCTGTTCCACATGTACATCATTTATTCCAATCTCCTTCATGGAGACTTTAGATAGATATTGTTACCAAGCAGAACTAAATGGGCCACAGCAAGTTTTGTGCCAACTTCTGAGACCTAATCATCCCTGAACTAGCTCTTGTTAGTGTACTTATTCATCTTGATTAGCAGGCTATCGTCACAAAATCACAAAAACCACATTTAGCCTTAAAGGTACACTTGGCAGTTTTGCCTGCTTTTAGCACCCCCTATTGCCCATTTATAATTATCTGTGGTCAAAGCAAAAGTGAAACCTATCTCCTCTCCATGCGTTAATCTTCTTAACACCTTAGTCTAACAGCTGAAATGTCTCCCCAGCCTTCATTAGTGTCTACAGGAGCAGTTCATCAGTAAATTAAACAACTCAGCTGTGTTCTTGATCTAAAACATGCTGGAAGCCGACTGCAGTGCCAGGTATGTCAGATTTTTTCTGACCGAACAGGCACTCTGAAGTTGCAAATGTGGTAACCTGGCCACTGAGGTCAGTGGGGGTGTGAGTGACATATCATTAACCCCTTATAGGGCACTCATTGAAGTGCTTTTTATTTAAAACCCAGGGTGTTATTGTAGTCCATAACCAAAGTGTATTTCTTTTTTTTTGTCTTTCTTTTATTAGAATATTTTAGAATCACTGATGGTGAGATTGGTAGGGACAGGAACTGTCCTCCTCCAGTTTCTCAGAGAAATCTTAGCTTAAAACTACAAAATATATTCAATATTATACTTGTTATTATTACTGTTACCATGAATATTAAGATTATGTCTAAAAAACAACAGATTTTACCTAAAAATGTTCCTTTACTTCAGGGCGTATGTTAAAATTTGGCAGATTTGATTTTCATGCTAATATTTCACCAACTTTACTGAGTTTAGTATTTACAACACACACATCCTTATTCAGCACAACTAGTCTGGTGATGTGAGAGTTTCATTAACCTCGCATTGTTAGTAGGAATGAGCGAGTACACCACTATCTGTATCTGTTCTCGGAGTGGGCGTGGTCTAACCCGGAAGTGGGCATGGTTTAACAGGAAGTGGGTGTGGTTTGCATCAATACAATATTTTAAATCTGAAATTGATAAGGATTGATCAGAAGTTGATATGTGTATTGTTTATTTGAAAACTATTTACAGAGCAGCCTCAGAACTTAGATTAAATATTTTTGATCACAATAGTAAAGAAACTATTACAGAACAAGTTTTTCAATAAAATCAGAACATTAATATTTAAGTGCATGAATTAATACATCTGAACTCATGCAGTAGGAACTAGGAAATATGAAATGCTAGAACCAGACCCAACTTTATGAATTTTTTTAATTCTAATTTGATTAAACTGATTTTTTTCTTAATGTTCCCACACAAAGTTAAACAAAACAATGTTGATTAAGGTGTGTGTGTGTGTGTGTGAGAGAGAGAAATAGAGAGGGAGAGAGAGCGAGTTAAAAAAAATTCTAAACCCGACCGGAGCGGAGGCAGTGACCGATGCAGCACGTCAGCTCTGTCTTGTCAAATACACCACGTACGCTACGAAAAAAGTAACTTTTAAATATTCAACCCAAAAAGAGGCGAGCTGAAGAAAACCTAGGGAGCACCGAAGAAACGTGAGCAACAGTGAAGCAATCACAGAGAGATCCGTTACTGTCTGTGTGTGTGCGTGGATGAGCCGGACAGACTGAGCTCCCGGCTGCAGAGTTTTGTGTGTAGGGAGGGGCGGGCGCTCTATGTGACTGGCCAATCACAGAGCGTGTAAACAGTCAGTTACCCAATGACGATTTCCCTTCAGCACGATTACAGATATTTACGAGGTTTACTCGGGTCATGCTCGTATTCGTCAAAAATGCTTTATCCGTACCGGATACTTGTCTGAAACGAGTATCCGGCTCATCCCTAATTG